TGCTTATTGAAGCGGAATTGTATAGCACAATACAAACCATAAAAATACATTTAATTAATTGTTATAATAATTTTACATAATACGTGAGATATACATCTTCAAGCTTCTCTCTTATCATTTTCAGAATTTATGGGTGTATTAGTAAGTTTTTGTATTAAATTTTCTATAATCTCTAAATTAGTGAAACCTACAATTTTATGCACAACCAAACCACTTGAAATTGCTACAATAGCTGGCACAGCTTTTACTTCGAAATAGTGTACCAATTCTGGATTTGATTCTAAGTTGACTATGGCAAGATCTAATTTATCCATTGGTCCTATGAGTTCTATTAATTTAGGTGTGAGTATTTTACAAGGACTACACCACTCAGCATGAAAATTTACAATGACAGGTACTGAACTCTTGATTACCTTTCTAACAAATTCATCATTATTATTTATTTCAAATTGTTTATTCTTCTGATATGATGAAGAAACATGTCTCACCAGAATTGATGAAAGCTTGGTAGTATTACGTAACATTTTATAATATTTTAAGTATTTCCTATATTACAAAGTAAACAGAAATAAATGAATTTAGAGTAGTCTTTTTTAATCAGTGTATATAATCAGTAAGAAATATTTTTGTTTCTGTTAGCAGATTCTGAAAGTTAATACAAATAAAAAATTTTAAATATCTTACTATATCATTAATACAACAATTACAACTAGAAAAATACCTACCATAAATGTTTAAAAAACCCAAGTAGTTATTCGAATTGGTCTAATAGATTCTGTTATTGCAAATTTAATATATCCTACTAAACCAACTATAGATGATATTAACAGTAATACGAGTAATAAAATACGCCAGATAAATAAATGATCGTATATCTGTAAAAAAATATTCTTATATATAAAACCATAGAAATTGTATAGCTATTTTATGTATACTAAAGTAACTGAACTTAAGTTCTGAAATAAAATAATTATTTGTATACCTTTTTATTAGTGCTATTGAATTTCTCTGATGCCCTTGGTAATACAATTAAAACAATTGTGCATATGCTAACAATTAATATAGCAATAGTACCAATTTTCTTTTCAATTCTTAAAGAGATAATAAATACCAATAATGCCAAAGCCCAAAGAATCAAAATAAGGAACAATCCTATTCCAACTCCAAATATCAAATTAGTCATACCACTGAAAAATAAAAAGTATTAATATATATATTACATTTACATTATTTATTTATATAATATTTTTTTCTTATTAATACTAAAAAAATATAGAATGCATAGACTTTTGAGCAATGTGTTCAATAAGATAAGAAAAATATAAGAAAAAAAACAAATATGTGCCTATGCAAATTACTGAACTCATTGTTTTCATATTTTTCATACTTTTAACTATTTTAGGCTATACATGTGCACACTCATCTCTAAATACATATAAATGTTATTCTTGAATAAACGCAAATATTTTATTATATATTAATTTCAGTTATTCATACTTTACAAGTTTTTGGACAATATTATTTATTAAAATAGCATATTTACAATAAAGAATTAAATACTATTTATCACATACTAGTTGTCAACGATTGCCAAACATCATCACAAATAAACCATGTTATAATTTGTACCTTTCAATAGTAAATTGTTGCATACAAATTTATAACACATATTTGTACCTATACTTTAATAAGATGTTATTTAAGTTGATTTTTTCTACATATTTTAAAAATACATTTATAATATCTCAAAAGACATATTTATAAAAAAAACAGATTGAGATTATTAATAAGTAATGCGTTTTTTAAAT